CAAATTGACTAAATGGTTTACTGACTAATTGATTGCCCAACTGGTTGATTGATTTACTGACTGATTGACGCCAGCGCGGTTCACTAATTAACTGACTGACTGACCAGCTAATTAACTCATTCCAGTTCTGATAAGCACACAAATTAAACAGTAAGGATAACTCCGCTGCAATTTGTAAGCAAGCAACATCCAGATGCCCGCAAGTGAAGGATGGACGTTCCTTTTTTTACGTTTCATGCTGTAAATTGATGGAGGAAACAAAAAGAAAAAAAAGGTTTGCTTTCAATGAAGCTAGATGCTGTCAAACTCATGCTTTACTAATGAACTCTCAAAAATCTGTCTGAGGTATGGGAACAGCAAGTAGAGGTTGGGTAGTCGAATCTAGCCAAGATATTCTGCTAATATAGATGGCGGTTAGCTTTAATAGGTTTATTCTCAAATTAAATACAAGAAATGAATCAAATTATCTGACTGCACAACTTTGATTGGAGTCCCACTGTAAAATAGCTTGATTGGCTTATCTAATTTAGCACTAATACTGGGTTTAGCAGAGCCAGCTTTTAGCCGTAAACACTAATTAAGTACAAGCAGCTCTTGCTCGGCGGTTATCAAGTGCATCGATCTTACTTACTTGGGCGACTTGCGGCAGCCGAGCTCGTAGGTGCTGTGCCAGCTGCAGTACATCTGGCCGTCGCAGCAGTTGTGCTGCTGGATGAAGGAGAGGCTGCGCTGCAGTCGCTTGCCCATCTTGGCGCCGATGCTGCCCTGGCCCAGCTGATAGGGCAGGCGGGCCGGCTGCATGTCCAGATTGTGGCAGGCCAGCTGCTGGGGATGCGGATGCGGATGCGGATGTGAATGCGGCTGTGGATGCTGGTGTGGGTGCGGATGCGGATGCAGATGGGGATGCTGATGTAAATGCGAATGCGAATGCATATGCTGGACAGGCAGATGATGATGATGTGGCGTGGGCGTGGGCGTGGCAAGCGGCTGCTGCAGCATGTGACGTTGGCAATAGTGGGGATTGCTGGCCCCCAGATAAGGCTCCATTTGATTCAAACTAATGCAGCTACGGCTGAGCAAATCGGGAGCGGGATATTCGCCATAGCCGTAATCCAAATGCAGGTTCGGCCGATGGTGGCGCGCCGAGGAGTGCCGCATCAGCATCGGCGTCGGCAGATGCCCATTGAGATGGCCGCGCTGCTGATGCTGCTGCTGCTGGTGCTGCTGGTCCTGCGACTCGCTAATGAAGAAGATGATGATGCCCGAGATAGCAGCCGCCGCAGAGCATATATAATAGCCGGCTCGTCCATACTTCAGCGAATAGTCATTGAGAAACGAGGTGAGGGGCACACTAATCAGCACGGGCACCGACTCGACGCCCCGTATGAAGCCTGCAAAGCAGAAGTTAAGCGAGACATTAGCTCCTATTGAGAACTGGGGGTGGACAAGGGTGACAAGGGTGACAACACCTACCCCAGGCCTTTGAGAAGTGCTTCAGCTTGATGCGCTCCAGTGCCAAAATCTTCAGCGAGTACTGAAAGCCGCCCAGCCCGATGCCGTACAGCCAGCTGAGTATGCAGAGTCCTTTGTAGCCCATGACAAAGGATAGGAATAGTATGGCCAGCGCCACAATGGATATAAACAGCTGCAAATAGAACGAAAGAGTTGAGTTTAATTCAATTTTCAACTCTGATGTGGGCATCTAGATTGGATGCCCACCAGCTTTGTGTACGCTAATAAATATTTCATCTCTCCCGCATTGCCCGGCACATTAGCGAATTTGCGGATTATAAAATTTTAATAATTTATATTTTAATATGACAATTAGTTGGCCACGAACTCGTGGTTTGGTTGAGCACCAATTTATAGTTGTGTAGTCATTAAGTAGGTTTGAAGATGAAAAATTAATATAGGGGAATTTATATAAAAAATTATTAATCTTCAGCAGATGAAAAAAAGGTTTTATTTCAATTTCAATAATCAATCAATTGAACACTTGATGGAAGCTTTCCAGCAAATTTTTCATTTAGATAATCTATACATCTGCCTAATGTGTCAGTATCAGTCAGTCAGTCAATCAATCAAGCGAAATAAGCACTATTTGTCTGTATGACTTCATATAGCAAATATGTTTCGCTGCCTGTCAATCAATCAATCAAGCTAAATAAACACTTCTGTCCATTTGATAGCATACAAAAAGTTTTATTAGCTGTCGGTCAATCAATCAAGCTAGGGAAATTATTGTTTAGCATACAGGAACTATGTTTCGCCTACAGTTAATCATGGCAATGTCAAGTTGACTTTAAATGTCTTGAGTAGTCTATTAATCTCCCAATCCAAATAAACTTGTTAATCTGTATTATTAATAAGGAATCTGTTTCATATATATTCGATTTAGCTGATGTTAATGAATTAGGTAATATGTATAAATACATATACATACATATATATAAATAGTCATCACCAATCATTCAATAATTGAATCAATCGGAACTCGCTTTATAGCTCCCACACTCAATCAATCAAGCACTTCAACAACAGCTCGTTCAATATATAAATAACTAATATGGCCAAAACTGTAGCCATTCACAAGCACAAAGCTATTCCACTCCTTACCGAGGCACATCCATATCAAGAATATCTGAATGAAAAACTCTTCATGACTTACCTGCGCAACAATTTTGGTATTGATCACAAATTGTCGTATGACAAAGCAGCGACGCAGCAGAGCGCCGGCCAGCACAACGCCTAGAGCCATGGAGATGCCCAGAAAGGTTTGCAGCAGCACCAGCTCCTGCACATCGGAGCCCTCCTTGGCAGCATTGAGGGCCTAGTGGACGATTGGAATGCTGTAAAATTGACGTTAGACGAAATTGAATTTGCACTCACCATCAGGAACATGGGCGTATAGATGCCAAAGGCAGCCACACTGGAAGTCATCAATAGGATCTTAACTGTGCCCGACTTCAGTGATGATATGTCCAGGAATAAGTATTTGGTGGGTGACTCCACTTCCTGCGTCAGTTTGGGCTTCTTCTCGCGCAGCTAAACACAAGAGTCACAGTCAACAACAATAGGGCCCTCCCTCTCTCTCTCTCTCTCTCTCTTTCTGTCTCACTTTCTTTTTTTTTTATTTTTACTCACCTTTTTGCGTTGATTTTTGAGATGTTGAATGGCACGGCGTTGCGGATGGTATAGGGAAGCCGGTCGATACATGAGGCCCATGAAAAAGCTGAGCGCCGTGAGTGCGGCAACGATTTGCAGTCCCAGGCGCCAGCCGGCCTTGCCCACGCCCTCCTTCAGGATGACGGAGAACAAAGCGATGCCAACGCCCTCGCCGGACATGGCCACCATTTCGACGAATTGCCGGCGACGCTTAAAGTAATTGCCCAGCATCACGGTGGAGGCTTCACGCACCATGGAAACGCCGATGCCAAAGACGATGCCTGCCAAGCAAACCCAAATGGTGAGCAGCACATCCGGCATACAGCTTAAGTATATTCCCCCCGATCCCACTCTCCCCGCTCTGCCCCCTCGCTGACATACAAATTTATATAACTTATGGACTCTATATACGCACCATAGCTAAAAACAACCTGACCGAATTCCGTGGCAAATGATGTGAACAGAATGCCCAGCGGCATCACAAGGCCTCCCACAATCGAGAGCAGACGTATGGAGCGTTTCCGGCACAGAGAGACCACAAACGGTATGGCCAGCATCGAGATGGACCAGCTCAGAGCGCCCAAGAGCTCTGCAAAGGAATTTCATAATGATTTTTTTTGTTTCTTGGGTGTATAAATAAATGAAACAGAAGACATAAAAATTCACAGAGGCTAATTAATTATTTGAGCTTATGCGGCACAACAACAAAATTTTAATAAATAATTCTGGATCTCTGTTACGGTTTAAAATTTCAATTTGAGATTAAATTCAGTTTACTTTTATGTTAGGGTGAATATATTGATGGATCAATTAGATATATGTATATTCAAATAATAAAAACAATATTTATATATTATATTTTATAATCATTTTATAAAAATTTGTTTTTTCATTTTATTACTAATATTATTATTATTATTATTATAAGTATTATTTTTAAATATTATGAAAGAGGTCATAAAAATTGTAGAGATTTAGTAAGAAATTTATTGACCATATATAAATTAAATTAATTATTTTTGTTTGTTTCTATATCAAGCTCATCTCAGCTCACAAATTTGATATTTCATTAGGCATATTGTTTTCTGTTGGAATCAAAGCTGGATGAGCTGTCTCAAAGGAATCAATCAAATTAAAAGTTTGCTAAGAAACATCTTTTTGTTCCTAAAAAAAGTAGAGCAAGCTCTTCAATCGTGAATTTAATTGTTTATATTAGGTCTGCAAGCAAGACAATGATTTGAAAACAAGACTAGAGTAAGTTGAAACTGGACTAACTTCATCGTCAATTGCGAATCACAAGTAAATTGAGGTCAATATCAAAAGGTATTGTTTCAGGTTGCTGGAGTTGTGAATACAAAGTTTTGAATAAATTTTGGCTTGAAGTTTCGACAAACTCAACTTCATTAGCCAAAAACGATGAGGGAAAGGAAAACTCCCTTTGGAATTTAAATGAAGAGAAATGTATGAGAAGTATAATCAAGTTTACTCAAGTGGCTAAAAGAGAGCTTAATAAATGGTATCAATATAACAATAAAAATAT